TGCAAAGGTAACAGAAGAAAATGTGCCAGTGTAGAAGACTCAGAGGTGTGACATGAGCATAAACCAAGCTGGAAACACATGGGGCAGCATAGCAGAAGACGACATACCTGTGCCATACAACCCTGCTGTGCTCTGGGTTGTGAAGCGAGGAAAAGTATTCACCAAAGACTTTCAAAGGGAGGTGAGTTATATTAGGTGTATTTTGAGTCGACTAAAAAATCATCACCAAAGACTCTCAAAGGGAGGTGAGTAATATTAGGTGTATTTTGAGTCAACTAAAAAATCATCACCAAAGACTTGAGTAATATAAGGTGCACACGTGCAAGAGAGAGAGAGAGAGAGAGAGAGAGAGAGAGAGAGAGAGAGAGAGAGAGAGAGAGAGAGAGAGAGAGAGAGAGAGAGAGAGAGCGAGACACACCATAGAGGCAAAAGGGATACCATATTAGCGGGTGAGTGAGTGTGCCCATAACCTTGCTGGCTATATGCATGTAGCACTTCCAATTCAAGTAGCCGCGGTGGTTATTCAACAAAAAAAAAAAACCCAAATTTATCCTAGTCTCAGCGCACTCAACTCAACCCCTTCCCCCCACTGTGCCCCCTCCTCCGAATTCCAGGTGGCAGCGATGGCAGCAAAGCACCATTCACTCACATTTGGTGTGCCTGCTGGGCCACTGCATTGACATGAACACCCCTCACCCCCCCACCTGCTTCGCTGGTTCTTCCCCCCATCCCCACGTGGTAGCCATGGCAACAAAGCACCACCCACATTTGGTGTACCTGCTGGGCCACTGCATTGACATAAACCCTCCTCTCCCTCACGCTTCCCTTTCCCCGATCCCCAGGTGGCAACGATGGCAACGAAGCACCACCCGCACCTGGTGCGCCTGCTGGGCTTCTGCGTTGACATGAACCCGGCAGCACAGGGCAGGGGCGAGGTGGCCATGGAGCAGATAGTGGTGTACGAGTTCATGGCCCACGGCGACCTCGAGCGCTGGGTGGGGGAGGCCGTGATACAACCTCTCTCGATGGCTCAGCGCCTCACTGTGCTCATTGGGGCAGCGCACGGCATTGAGTACCTGCATGACTTTGGCATTGTGCACCGTGCCATCAAGCCCGCCAACATTCTCCTCGACAGCAAGATGCAGGTCAGCCGCCGTCTCGAGTTATGCCAAGCCAAGGCCTGTTAGGCGTACGTTTTCAGGATGGCACGTTTGAGGTCAGATCAGAAAAAGACAGTTCCTTGGAGGACCGTTGTCTATGTGAGACGTTTCGACTTGATGTCAAATGAGGATAGCAGAATAGGCGCCACTAGAGCCGTTTGTTTCCATGATCCTGTACATCTTCCACGTGTCGTCATCCATATGCCATCCCATACACCCTCCATTCTCTCCACCCCTACAAGCCAAGGTTGCGGATTTTGGACTACTAAGGGAGGGGGAGGGCAGCACAGTGGGCGTCAATAGGGAGGTTTGTTTCCAGCAATCCACATTTCATCCCTTATCTTACCCCCAACAGGCCAAGGTTGCGGATTTTGGGCTTGTGAGGGAGGGAGAGGACAGCAAAATATGCACTACAAGAGTGATGGGCACACCGGGCTATGTGGACCCTGCTTATGTCAAGTCTGAAATCGCCACACCCTCAGCTGATGCATACAGGTGAGCCATGCTGTTGGTGTCATCCACCCTCGTGCTGTTGCCTTCGGTGTAATTTTCCTTGCCGAGCATCGCCAAGTTAAGCTTGGGCTGTTGCTCAGCAATTTCTTGCAAGCTTGTAACAGAAGTCAAGGTACCTTCGGAGTCACATACAAGGTACCTTGACTTCTGTTGGCCGACTCATGTGATGCTCATGATGCCTTCCTGTGACTCACACCATTGCTATACATCAATTGTACTTCGGTCGTTACTTGCTGCATCACGAAAAGGCCTCTCTGTTCCGTCACTTGCTCAAAACCCCATCTGTCTGTGCTGCAGTTTCGGCATTGTGATGCTCATGATGCTTGCCGCTCGCAAGGCAGTTTTAAGGGATTGGGGAAGCAGCGACAATGGCAGCCAGACTCACATCAAGGATTGGGTACGTGTTCAATTTCGCGCTGGGGCCGAGTTTACAATGAGACACGGGCAAAGTTGTGACAATATGAAAGAAAGCCCGTGACTTTATGAATGAAAGCCCGTGACTTTATGAATGAAAGCCCGTGACTTTATGAAATAAAGCCAGTGACTTTATGAATGAAAGCCCATGACTTTATGAAAGAAAGCCTGTGACTTTATGAAAGAAAGCCCATGACTTTATTAATAAAAGCCCGTGACTTTATGAATGAAAGCCCGTGACTTTATGAAAGAAAGCCCGTGACTTTAAGACAGCCCGTGACTTTACGAATGAAAGCCCCTGACTTTATGAATGAAAGCCCGTGACTTTACGAAAGAAAGCCCGTGACTTCATGAATGAAAGCCCGTGACTTTACGAAAGAAAGCCCGTGACTTTATGAATGAAAGCATGTGACTTTATGAATGAAAGCCTGTGACTTCATGAATGAAAGCTCGGGACTTTATGAATGAAATCCCGTGACTTTATGAATGAAAGCCCATAACTTTATGAATGAAAGCCCATGACTTTATGAATGAAAGCCCGTGACTTTATGAATATAAGCCCTGTGACTTTATGAATGAAAGCCCGTGACTTTATGACCTACAGACTTTATGAATGTATGAATTGAGATAGAACTTACACTTGGCTGATAAGGCACCCTGAGTTGGTAAAGATTACCCCCATCGCAGGAATCTTGCCAACCTTAGCACTTCACAAGTCGCTGTATGCTGGTGCTGATGTAAGTATCGGCCCCCCTGTCCCCCCCATCCTAATCCTTCCCAGGCCACATACCTAATTGAACAAGGCCGGGCGTCAGAATGAAAGGACCCCCGGTTGGATGCTCCCGCACATTTGATTGTGCGGATGGCACAGCTGGCACTGCGCTGCACTGCCACGCCGACCGTGTCTCGTCTCGACATGGTGCAGGTGTTATCTGAGCTATCAGCGCTAAGGAAGGAGTATCTGGGGGAGGCGCCACCTAGGATGGCGGCTAGAATAGATGAGGAGGTTGAAGAGGCAGAGAGGGGTAATTTTGAAGAGGAAATGGCCGCTGTTGAGAGGATGGCGTTTGGAGGGAGCACTGGAAGTTATCACGTCACGTGACAGATTGATGGATGCCTTTTGAGTTGCAATTTTTATGTTTTTTTGTTTTGCTTTCTTGGGGTGTATTCCTATGCACTGGGATCAGGATCAGACTCGCGCAGAACCAGAATGAACCACATTGAAACGCGATTCACACTTGCACCGCACAGTACCGCGTGAGGGCTGACGTTATCAGGGTATTTTACCCTGATTCCCTGATTTCACAGGGTATGTTTTTCGGCCAGCCCTTACTTTTCAGGGTGGTCAAAATCTCAACAATGAACCCTTCAGGGTTATAAGTTCTCCATTACTGAGAATTTCAGGGACTGTGTCCTAGGGATACTTAGTTTCCAGGTGTTAATGCGTACCGACCCTGACACAGACATATTGCACTGAACTGGCCACAATCCTGAGATTCCGGCGAAGTCCCCAATTTCCAGAGACATCTCCCCCACACACCCAGCAGCCTACGTAAAATTTTGGCTAAGTCCAACAGGACGGACACTCCCCCACACACCCAGCAGCAATCTACCGAAATCGGCGAAGTCCTCTTGTACAGACACTCGCCTCACACACCCCGCAACCTAAAAAAAGATCGGCTAAGTCCTGATAGCCCGAGACATCACCCTCTCCAACAAAAATTATTGGTTAAGTCCTCTTGTACAGACTCCCCCCTCCCACACTCCCACAACCCATACAATTTGGCTAAGTCCTCAACATCACCCCTATACCCCCACAAACCCTGAGAATTTGGCAACCCAGTGGAGTAGTGCAATTCGTACATGGCAATGTACTACAAGGGTACTAGTGACAACGCCTGAGCATGACAAAAACCTTACCCTTAGTAGAAATCGTTCCTTTCAGGGGAATTCCCGCCAGCTGCCAGTGCGGTATAACTAATAGTCCAAAACGCTTTGACGGCCCCGATCGATTGCGATCGTTTCGACATTTATCAGGCGTCGATGTCTTCTCAAGATTAACGGACCGGATTTCTTTTCACATTTGAACTCAATTCCATGACGGTGCAAGCGAGCGAAGTCCCTCCCACGCACGGTGCTCATTGGCCAATTGCGAGGGCTCTGTCTCCCCTCGCTTGCGAATTCCCTCACTTGTGAGGGCTCTGTCTCCGCCCTTCCCCTCTGTTGGAAACAAAGAATTGGAGAAGTAACCCGTTTCTGTAGTATCGAGACTAAAGCGATACTGTGAAATGGTCAACAACGAGTACGGCGAGTCAACGGAGGTTACACGCGGCAGTTGTGCGTGTAACCAAAGCGCATGGCAGTTGCACTTGGAGGTTGCACGTGGAGGTTACGTGGCAGCCCTACTGCACATCAACCACTACTGTAAGGTATCGAGTCGCTTATACGCTCGATAACGCAACAGCAGCTGTAGTAACTGTCCTGTATTCTAGAATAACTATTTATTCCTGTCTGCTGTTTGTGTTAATCAATTCTCTTGTTCTCACATACCAGTGCAAGAGGTTCATTAAGTCTTACACCTCGCTTCCGCAAGTACAACATCCTTCTGGGGACTTGTCTTTGCAAAGATCCTACGGGCTTCTCTCAGCCCAGCATGGTATGAGAGCTAGTCGAAGACTAGGTTCCTGCTAAGTTCATTATAAGCACTCTCAGCTCTACAAGTTCATCAGTCAAACCCACTTCAAGATTACAAGATATGGCATCCCAGAAGGAAGTGAGATCCTCCATTGGATCTCCAGGCTCAAAACCTACTATGCCCCTAGTCTCTGGCCTACAGACTGAAGAGGCGCCTGCGCAAGAAACAACCCCGAGAGCATCTACTGAGCAAGCGGTCCCTCCGACCGGCTTCGACCCAAGTCTGATGGAGTGCTTCTTCTCCTTCGTGTCAACATATGAGCAGCAACAACCATCAGCACCTGCACAGTCAGCCAACAGCAACAACAACAACAACAACAACAACAACAACAACAACAACAACAACAACAACAACAACAACAACAACAACAACAACAACAACAACAACAACAACAACAACAACAACAACAACAACAACAACAACAACAACAACAACAACAACAACAACAACAACAACAACAACAACAACAACAACAAGGCCACCGGGCTATGTGGATCCAGCTTACTTCAAGTCTAACAAGGCCACCCCCATGGCTGATGTATACAGGTACAGTGCGGTAAAGAGTGGTATTAGTGACTCGTACATGTCTTTATGTGATGGACTCACCGTGGATCCTGCTTACTTCAAGTCCAGCAAGGCCAACCTCATGGCGATGTGTACAGTTACAATGCGGTAAAGAGTGGTATTGGTTACTTGTACATGCATGTAAGCTTATGGACGTATAGTGATGGGCACACCTGGCTACGTGGAATGTCCAAGTATTTAATGCATCTCTGCTTACTTCAAGTCCAACAAGGCCACCCCCATGGCCGATGTGTACAGGTACAGTGCGATAAAGCGTGGTATGAGTCGTACAACCATAGGCACATTCATACATGGGTGTTTTTGATACACCGGGCTTGTTCTACCTTACCTCTTTCAAGCCTCTCACTCATACAGCCCTCTGCTTTTCCTGTAACCGCACCCATTTCCCTGCTGCCCCCCCCCCCCCTCCTCCTCCAAATGCTACAGCTTTGGCATTGTGATGCTGACGGTGCTGACAGCACGCCAGTCAGTCATTCCACAAGGCAATGACAGCCAGCTGAACATCCGGAAATGGGTGAGTCGAGCCGTGCCATTTCATGCCATAGTTCGTTCAAGGTGTCATGGCTTTAGGCCCTTTGTTAGTCATCCCACAGGGCAGTGACAGCCAGCTGAACATACAGAAATGGGTGAGTCCAGCCGTGCGATGCAATGCTTGCTATCCATACCATACCATGCCATGCCATGCCATGCCATGCCTCCTATCCATGCCATACCCATTCAGACTGTCACAGGGACCATCAGGCATTCTTCTACCTTTGCTGTTCCCCTGGCGCTCTGAGCAACTAACGCTCAGTGTTCCAATTCTTCTCACTGACACTCCAGTTCCACTGCTGCATTCAGTCCCTCTCAGCCCCAAGGCCTCATTGAAGCTGGCAATGCGCAGTCTCTCCGTCTCTCATTCCCTCACCCCTCCTACACGCTCTCTTTCCCATACCCATCCCCTTTCCCCTCAGGCGGAAGACCTTCTCAAGGCAGGCAAGGCGTCCGAACTCAAGGATCCCCGATTGGACGCTCCGGCAGATTTGATTCTGCGGATGGCGCAGCTGGCGCTGCGCTGCACTGCCATGCCGACCGTGTCTCGTCCCGACATGGTGCAGGTTGTATCTGAGCTCTCAGCGCTCAGGAAGGAATACCTGGGGGAGGCGCCACCCAGGATGGCGGCTAGGATAGACGAGGAGGTGGAGGAGCTTAGGGTTGGGGATTTTAGTGCGGAAATAAGGATGGCTGAAAGGATGGCGTTTCAGAATAGCACCAGCGCATTGAGTATTCGATAAAGGAGTTGGAAGTCAGGCAGTAGCAAAGAAATACGCATAGAATGAAAGGATGGAGTTTCAGAATAGCACCCGGCGCAATGAGCATCCGGTAGAAAAAGGAGTTGCCTTAAGGCGGTAGGCAGCAGCACTCAGGAACGAATACCTGGGGGAGGCGCTGCTGGTGATGGGCAGGAATATCAGCTCCTATGGTGTGGGCAGCTATGTTGTGAAGTGAGCGGAAGATGCAAGGAGGGGGAACTTTGCGAGATAAATTTGCTACTGTAGAGCACATGGTGTTGACAGGGAGTGCTTGAAGCATGTGAGAATTGATGAGGAGATGGCTGCTGTGGAGTGGATGGCGATGGGTGGGAGTACCAGCAGATACGATGTCAAGCGAGTAGAGTAGCAGAAGACGGGGGGGTGTCTACTGCTACGGTGCCCCACGATGGCTGCTGTGGAGTGGATGGGGATGGGGGGGAGCATCAGCAGCTATGGTGTCAAGTGAGAGGAGGCAGGGAGGGGGGAGCAGGAGAAAGGGGAGGTATGCTGGAGGATTCTGCTGTTTAATAGGAGTTGGTGATGGGTGGGAGTACCATCAGGCATGACGTCAACGGAGCGGACGAGGCAGGGAGTGGGGAGCAGGAGGATGGGGAAGCATGCTGGAGGATTCTGCTGCTATGGGGGTGGGGATGGTGACGGGCGGGAGTGCTAGCAGCTGCTGTGTCAAGTGAGAGGAGGTCCAGAAGAGGGGGGGGGGGGGGGGGGGGGGGGGGGGGGTGTGTGAAGTGAAAGGGCAGGGAGAGGGAGACTTGCTGGAGGAACTGGGTGTTGTGGAACGGATAGTGATGGGCGAGATTTACTCCCTCCCTGGGAATACTACGATATAAACCACAGTGCCGAGTGAGTGGTTGGTGCATTGACCATGATGATTGCATGCAAGGAGGGAGGGCGGAGAGTTTTGGCTTACCACTAGGAGAGGTGGTGGTATGTGGGTGATCAGTAAATCACATTGTGTTAGGGCGCGTTATAAGATGCCAATGTAATTGGTTGCGTTGCGTTTTAGAGCAATTGGATCGTGAGGTAAAATGGTTGGGTAAGCAAGAATGCACTAATTATATGAATATGGAAAATCCACATTCCATCTAATATACTAACAGAAAATGTGCAACGCATACTAACGTTGTGGTGCTAGTAAAATATTTGAAGAGCTTTAGAATGTACTTCCTTCGTTGCGTTGGAGCCATAGCTCGAACCCATTCGCCAAAAATAGTGTAACCGTGGCACGTGTGATTCGTCTGCTTCGTATATACATCGTCAGTTTGCGAAACCAGGGTAATCCAACGGCACTCAATTGCTCCCCTCCCGCAGGCGGGACCATCTCGCTCGCTTCATCGATTCTCGCCACTCCACCTGCGATCAACCCCAATTTGGACCATGCAGGCGTGTTCACAAATATCATGGGTGCATGAGTAAGCTGGCAAGAAAAGTTACCCTAGTGGCCGCACTGCCGTTACCAGAGGTCGTGTGTAAGGAATTTTCCATTCCTTAGCGCGCCACACCGCTAACGCGTACCCCAACCCCACTCGGTACCGACACCTGCCCTAGCTTCGGCCCGTACACGCCACGCCGCACCATTGCACGTCACTCCGAAGCGATCCGCGTCTTCGGATGCCTTCGTCGAACCTGTTTGATCACACTGCTAGGGTTGCTCTGGTGTTCCTATATCTCGCTTCGTCATTCCATTGTACGGCATTCTGTTATTCTGAACCTCGACATTCGATTCCGCGCTACTCTGGTGAAACAGTCATAACATCTGGTAGTCGGAGCTACTCTCTTGACTTCCCCGCTTCCGTAGGCAGATTTTTGTTTTTGTTTTTGTTTTTGTTTTTTTTTTTTGTTTTTTTTTTGTTTTTTTTTTTTTTCGGGGGGGGAGTGATTTGCTCACTGAGTTGCAAAGCAATTAGCCACAAATCAGACGAACTAATTCGCCCGACTACGATAGCGTTTGCGCTCTTACATGAGCACGAGTAATCACGGCTATTCCCCTGCCCACCCGACGTAGTGTCCGCCACATGGACCAGGCACAGTTCGATGAGCTACTGGCGAAATTCGCCGCCACGGATGCTTGCCTGCAAGCTGTGTTAAACGACGAGAGATTTCGCGCCGAAGTTACCGAACTTCGCCAGGCGCAAGAGACGACGCGCTAGAAGTCGCTCACCCCCGAGGACGCTGCCAACACTGGACGTGGCGAGACAGTATTGGACGAACTCGCACGCGAAGGTTGCAGGAGCGCCGTGATGATGAAGCCGCAACAGCAGCGAATGCCGCAGCACGTGCCACGGCAGCTGCAGAAGCCACGACAATGGCCGCCGCCCGCTCTGAAGCACCAGCAACAGTCTCTGCAGCAGCTGCAGCCACACCAATGGTACCAGTGGCCAAGATAAAGCTGCGATGCCGCCCCCTTTCAACCCCATGGGCAAAAATACCACCATGACGAGCTGGCTTTTGGCGATGGAGCTTTATTTTGACGCGGTCGTGATTACTGTTGATGATTTAAAAATCAAACTGGCTGTTTCGCTACTGAGGGGACCTGCACTAGATTGGTGGCGCTCGACGCTAAGTGAGACGGGGACTTCGGCAGGGAACACTCAGGGGTTTTTCGGGAGCTCGGAATCTGCTGCCCGGGACGCAACGTTAATTTTCGGAGCGACCAAGATTCGCACGTGGAAAGCGCGGGGTACAGCTCTGCGTGCACGTTTTGAGACCATATTTGCCTCGGACAACGCACGTACGAAGTTGGACACCTGGCACCAGTTGACCTTTGTCCAGGATTACGCGTCATCATTTCATACACTGTGCGACCAAATTACCGACCTATCAGAAGCTGAAAAAAGAATCGGTTCATCGTGGGGCTCAAATCCAAAGTTCGCTACGAAGTGAGGATGCGACGCCCAGCGACGTTCGAGGAAGCCATGGTGATCGCCGGCCTGTACGACGCCAAGAAAAATATACAAGAGCAGGTTCCCGGGAGAGAAATCATTTTCGTGGCCAGGATCAACGGCCCTCGATCAACGGCATCGTGGAAAACGACGAAGATCGCAGAAAGAGACAGTACTTTTACTGCCACCAGCCGGGTCACCGATATGCGGACTGTCCTGACCAGAAGCACAGGAAAAACAACGATGGGGATAAGCCGGGAAACGACTCTCGTAAGTAGCAGACGGGCCCCTTACTGACACGCCTGCATCGCCCGAGCAACTATATCTCCACCTGGTAGTTGTACCGGTACACGCTATCGGCTGCTCTCGGACGAATAACGGGGATGAACATGAGGATCACCCTGTGCTGGTAGAAGGAAGGGTTAACGAAAATAAGTAAATACAAAAAATCTTCATCGATGGTGGTGCAAGCCACAGCCTGATTCACCGACCGACGATGAAAATAAATAAATTTACGCCTAGAGCGGTGTCTGCACGAGATTGATGCCCGATTGGTTGACGGCACCCCACTGACGATACGCGATCGCGTGCGATCTGTTCGCATGAAGTGTGGTTACAATTTTGGCTTCAGCGCGCCGATGCTGGTGACGACACTCGACGGCTACGATGTGCTGCTGGGACGAGATTGGCTTCGGCGACACAACCCGCAGATCGATTGGTTGGCAGGCGAGTGCACAATCACGTGTGCGAACTGTTGGCAGTTACTGCCAGAATGGCGAGGAGCAGAGCCGACAACGACATGTGTCAATGCCATCACGCTGACACGCGTGGTCAAGAAAGACGCGGGATTGTACGCCGTCCATCTGAAGGAATCAATGGACGATGATCAACCAGCCGACATCGATAAGCTCTGTGCAGCAATCCCCGAAGATCTGGCGAAATTGATTCGTCATTTTCCAGATATTTTTCGGGACGACCTGCCACCTGGCCTGCCGTCTGAACGCCCTCAGGACCATCGGATCGAACTCGAACCTGGCGCGCAGCCAACTGTCCGGACACAGTGGCGGCTGACGCAACCGGAGCTCCAAGAACTACGAGACCAGCTGGACTATTTGCTGACAAAAGGGTTCGTTCGACCGAGCACGCCCCCGTTCGCTACCCCGATCCTGTTCACACCCAAGAAAGATGGGGCCTCCGAATGTGCATCGATTATCGCGCCTTGAATCGGGTTACAATAAAATCTCGCTACCCAATCCCGCGTGCGGACGAACTGATCGACCAGCTGCGAGGCGCTCGTTCTTTCTTGAAGATCGACCTTCACGGCGGTTACCCCCAGATTCGAGTCTTCACCGACGACTGCCACAAGACCGCGTTTCGTACTCGCTACGAGAGTTACGAATACAGTGTCATGCCGTTCGGGTTAACGAATGCCCCATCGAGGTTCCAGCTAACGATGAACGGGGTATTCCGGGGTCTACTCGATAAATTTGTAATCATTTAGCTGGACGATATCTTAATTTACAGCACGGCACGGGAGCAACACTAAAAGGACCTGGCAGCGGTTTTTCAGCACATGCAGTAGAATCGCCTCATCACCAAAGGCTCTAAGTGCGAGTTTTTTAAAAACCGAACTGGAGTTTTTGAGGCACGTTATCTCGACGGAAGGAGTGAAGATTGACCCCCGCAAAATTCAGGCGATTCAGGAATGGAAGCTGCCGACCAACCTCCGGGAGCTGCAATCGTTTTTGGGGTTTGTACCCAACACTGGGGCACTAATTGACCTACTTCAAAAGGGCACTGATTATCAGTGGGGGGTGAAGCAGCAAGCAGCGTTTCACGGATTAAAAAATATTCTAATCTCGCCACCGATACTTTGGATTGCTGACCTAGAACAACCATTTGAGGTCATGACCGACGCAATTGATATCGCAATCGGAGCAGTTATGCTACAAGATTTTGGCGACGACCTTCAGACAATCGCGTACGAGTCGCAAAAGTTACAATCGGCCGAACGAAATTATCCCGTACACGACAAAGAAATGCTGGGGATCGTGCACGCGTTCAAGATATGGCGATGCTACCTGACGGGAGCCGACGTGACTGTACGAACAGATCACAAGTCCTTACAGTACATGCGAGCGCAGCCGAATCTCAACCCGCGGCAGATTCGCTGGTTGGATTATCTGGAGTCGAACTTCACGTATCGCATCACGTACAATAAGTGTGCCAACAACGTCATTGACGCCCTCTCCAGACCATCTGCCCAAACTGCCGCTGTACTAATCGCTCACATGAACCCGTTGCTGAGCAGACTATTTACCCACGGATATTCAACCGACCCCTTTTTCGTAAACAACGGCCACCAGCAAGTCACGACTGCACAGGGAGCCTATTACGTAAAAGTGGGAACATAATGAATTTGGGTTCCGAGTTATCGTCTACTTCACGAATGATTAATTCAAGAAGTCCACGATTCGAATTTATCGGGACATTTCGGGCTTGACAAGTCTCTGAAGGCACTGCAGCCGTTTTATTACAGGCCGGACATGATTTCGGACGTGCAGAAATACGTGGGTGCATGTCCGACTTGCCAGACGATGAAACCATCATGCCAACGGTTAGCATGACTGTTGCAGCCCCTCGAGCCACCCCAGCAACCTTGGCAACATGTGACAATGGGTTTTGTCATCGGCCTGCCGGCCGGACCACGTGGTAATGACGCGGTTCTTGTCGTCGTCGACCGCCTCACGAAAATGGCCCACTTCGCGCCATGTCGCACGATGATCACAGCCGAAGAAATAGCACGTCTTTTCATCTCGGTCGTCGTTCGCCTGCATGGTATCCCTACAGCGATCATCAGCGACAGAGACTCGAAATTCACTCCGCGCTTCTGGCAAGACACGTGGAACCGATACGGCACCCACCTACAGTTTTCATCCGCCTATCACCCGCAAACCAACGGTCAGACAGAACGTACGAATCAGACCATGGAACAGTTTATTCGAACGAATTGTCCGGATATCAGCAAAAGGGAAGATTCACTACCCATGCTCGAGCTTCCTACAACAACACACCCTCCGCCACGACCAATAATTCGCCCTTCTTCCTGAATTATGGGTTGGATCTGACAGTACCCATCTCCACCAACGTCGAAAGCCAAGTCCACCGCTCGCAACAGTTTGTCGAAGACCTTCAAACCGCCCGCATGAAAGCCATCGAATTTATCACGGCCCGCCAATATGCCGACCGCCACAAAAACGATATTACATTGATTGCAGGGAAACTAGTCCTCCTCGACACAAAAAACCTTCGCCTGCAGATACCACCAAAACTTTGACCCCGCTATTGTGGACCCTTCAAGATCATCAAAATGATCACGCCAGTGACCGCCCAACTCCACCTGCCCGACGATTGGAAAATCCATAATGCCTTCCACGTCAGCCTCCTTCGTCCTTTTGTCGCCGACACATCCAACGTCGTCCGACAGCCGATCGCCCAGGATCTACGGCCAGCCGAAGAGACGCTCATCGAACCAGCGAAGATCCTGAGCCACTGCGTACGCATCAACAGTCAGGAACGACATGTTGACTTTCTGATACGATGGGCTCATCGTACCAGCGAGGACGACACGTGGGTCCCTCGGTACAGGTACAGTCACCTACTGTACTCTGGGATTATTTATCCCGCAAGCACGTCGCAAATATAGACCACCTTCGCTAGAGGGCCGGTAGTGTAAGGAATTTTCCATTCCTTAGCGCGCCACATCGCTAACGCGTACCCCAACCCCACATGGCACCGACACCTGCCGAACCATTTCACGCTACGCCGAACCATTTCACGTCACTCCGAAGCGATGCGCGTCTTGGTATGCCTTCGTCGAACATGTTTGATCACACGACTAGGATTGCTCTGGTGTTCCTATATCTTGCTTCATCATTCCATTGTACGACATTCTGGTATTCTGAACCTCGACATTCGATTCCGCACTACTCTGGTGAAACACTCATAACATCTTGGCTAGTCAACGGGCTAAAAATAGCAGCACTTTCTGCTGAGAGTGTGTCAGATCGAGGAACTGACTTTCGACGCAGCGGCACTCCAAATACCTGGTACCACGCCCTTGATAGTACGGACGGATGCTACTTTCAACACCCAACAATAACCAACCAACCAATCCCCTCCATTCCTCCCAACACGGCTAGACCCTCGCGGACTGGCTCTTGCTGACTTGGCAATTTTGTGAAGTGCTTCGCACTAGCAGCCCAGGCGGGAATGAGGGGAACTGGCTTGGTGCTTCGCAGCACCTCGCGATAATGGCGTGTTGCGGGTCAAGGGAATGCAGGGAATTGCATTCAGGCGGTTCCCTTGACTCTTGCTTCCTTGACTCTCGTGATTCACTTGCCATTGCCTGCACGACAGGGCACTGCGTGCGGGCTGAGGCTCGTGGGATGTGTGGGTGAGGACCATGTCGCACCACACATGCTAAGGGATGTGGGTAAGGACACACTCGCTAAGGGATGTGCGTAAGGACACACGTGCTAAGCCTGTGTCTTTGTGGTTAAATTGCCATTCGGTGATTCTATTCACTTGGAAATGTTTTGGCAGCAGCATTCTCTGTCTGCTACCTCTCCACATTATTTATAACTTCTTTCACCTCCTCCGTCAACCAGTGAATTAGAATTAATAAGGGCGTTAGGAAAACCCCTCCTTGCTGCCATTATCCTTCTTCCTCCTCCTTTTCTGAAGTTGTTTGCACCATTCGCCAGCTATGCCATGTATTGACAAATGGTGGGTTCTTGGTGCAATTTTTTTTGTGGGCATCAGCATCTCGACTCGCCCAAAAAAGAATTAGTCGAACCAAACTGCATCTACAATATTTCAGTAGCTTGTGATGTGTGTAGTACGACGCTCATATGGCAAATACATGCTCAATACTAAGTTGGCACTTAACCTTCACGGGTCTTTCGTTTACGTGACTTTACGAAGTAAACTTACGTTTACTTACATTGGGCCAAAATGGCTTTACGTTTACGGTCAGCACAAAATGCTTCCAAGCTGCCCGTGCACAGGGGAATCTCATAATGCTTTGGGTATGCACAAAGCAGAGAGGCATAAATAACTAGACTCACCACCCAAATTTGTTTTGTTTCAACACAAAAGTTGCCTTGGTGAGCCACAGTGTGCAACCATACCATAGACGTGACTGCGCCCCAGTCAAACTCAATCTTCCCCCTTTTTTCCTGCCCCTGAGTTTTTTTTATGCTGCCCATCCATATTTACGTAAATTTACGAGTAAAAATACGTAAAGGTAAACTTACGAGCACATCTACGTTTACGTGACTTGGTTTAGAGTAAAGTACCAACTAAGGCTCAACAAGGGCACTTGGTACTAAGAATTTCCATTTGATCCCTTTCCACATGATTTTCCATTTTATCCCTTTGCATTTTTCCTTCTCCCTTTCGCAAGCAGACGAGTGCTTTCGCGGATGCACATATGGCATTTGCCTGCAGATCGGCTCTACCTCGCAGTATGAGTACATGTGTGCATCCGCCATTGGGCCGACCGCCGGATGCCGTGTACCAGGTGTGCTACGACCATAAAGAGAGATGTCCATTCGGTCTGTGCCAGGACAGGAGATCTCCCGTGTTGTATGCCACCTTGCAATTTGACTGCGTGTGTGCACCTGCCTTCGTTTGTCCCCCTCTCGACTCTCAATCGGCCGATGCTACTCACCAGGCATGCTGCAACGATGAAGCGACCCTATTGGCCAATGCATAACCACTGGTTAGGGATGTTGAATGTTGTATGCTGAACCACTACGCAAGCGTCTGGGAAAAAATAAGTGTAAATCCTCCTCCCCTTCCCCCCCCCACCCCCCCTCGTTTTGTACTCCCTCCATCCCACCAGCAGGAACCTCCAACTCCTCAGACCCTTCCTCTGCCAACCCTTCCTCCCCCCCTCCTCATTCTCCCCCCCCCCCCCCCCCTCATTCTTCCCCCTCTCCTCATTCTCCCCCCCCTCCTCATTCTCCCCCCCCACCTCATTCTCCTCCAGCAACCTGTCAATTGGGGTCATTGTTGTGCTTGTGCACGTCCCTGTCATCACCATCATCATCATCTGCATCATCTGTGTTCATCCCTCCACTCCATCCCCCAAGCAGGATCCTCCAACTCCTCAGACCTGGCCTCCGCTCCCCCCTCCTCCCCCTCCTCGTTCAACCTGTCGGTTGGGGTCCTTGCTGTCATTGCACCCGCCCCTGTCATCAACACCTGCACCATCTGTGTTCATCCCTCCACCCAACCCCTCAACCAGGACCCTCCAACTCCTCAGACCCGCCCTCAGCCAACCCCTCCTCCTCCTCCTCGTTCAGCCTGTCAGTTGGGGCCATAGTTGTCATCATTATAGTTTCTGTCATCATCTTAATCACAGTGGCTCTCTTTCTCTGGTTCAAGCAGAGGCGGGGGGGGGTCACAGCAGCCTCGAAGCCAAGAGTGGGACACGGAGGGAGCAGCGTATGGGAGCCTGTACGCAGCAAGAGCAGCAGGCATGCAGGGTTCTGCAGATATGCCAGGAGGCGGAGGAGGGGGGCATCACCAGGGGTATAATGGTTTGCAGAGGCGTGGGAGCAGTGGGAGTGCGAGTGTATGGAGCAGTCATCTAGGGGGCGGTAACCCATGGGATGAAGTCAGAGCAGGTGGAGCAGCGCAAGCAGTTGGAGCAGCGCAGGCAGTTGGAGCAGCAGGGTCATTGAATAGTTTTGACTACGCCCATCAAGGGTGCCAGAGGTTCTCATACGCTGACATGGCGCAAGCCACCAACAACTGGGACGAGCGCAACCGCATTGGCAGTCATCCTCCAGGCTGCGGAAAGCAGCCGTGAGCTCTTCGCTAAGCTTCTGATACTTGGCTTCCAGAACCGCCTTGCCATCTGCAGGGTCTTCGAACTTCTGGGACCTGCAATGAGAAGAGAACACTCATGAAGTCTGAAACTGGGAAGACTGGGGACGCTGTGAACTGGATCTCTAATTCCAAGAGCATGACTGGAAGCATCTGAGCATGACACGTACACAATCTTGTAGATGAGGTCACCAAGCCTCTGCTTGATGACATTAAGGGTGATCTTCTGGCCTTCTGAACCAGCTGCCCTCTCAACAGCCTGCAAAGGTAACAGAAGAAAATGTGCCAGTGTAGAAGACTCAGAGGTGTGACATGAGCATAAACCAAGCTGGAAACACATGGGGCAGCATAGCAGAAGACGACATACCTGTGCCATACAACCCTGCTGTGCTCTGGGTTGTGAAGCGAGGAAAAGTATTCACCAAAGACTTTCAAAGGGAGGTGAGTTATATTAGGTGTATTTTGAGTCGACTAAAAAATCATCACCAAAGACTCTCAAAGGGAGGTGAGTAATATTAGGTGTATTTTGAGTCAACTAAAAATCATCACCAAAGACTTGAGTAATATAAGGTGCACACGTGCAAGAGAGAGAGAGAGAGAGAGAGAGAGAGAGAGAGAGGAGAGAGAGAGAGAGAGAGAGAGAGAGAGAGAGAGAGAGAGAGAGAGAGAGCGAGACACACCATAGAGGCAAAAGGGATACCATATTAGCGGGTGAGTGAGTGTGCCCATAACCTTGCTGGCTATATGCATGTAGCACTTCCAATTCAAGTAGCCGCGGTGGTTATTCAACAAAAAAAAAAAAACCCAAATTTATCCTAGTCTCAGCGCACTCAACTCAACCCCTTCCCCCCACTGTGCCCCCTCCTCCGAATTCCAGGTGGCAGCGATGGCAGCAAAGCACCATTCACTCACATTTGGTGTGCCTGCTGGGCCACTGCATTGACATGAACACCCCTCACCCCCCACCTGCTTCGCTGGTTTCTTCCCCCATCCCCACGTGGTAGCCATGGCAACAAAGCACCACCCACATTTGGTGTACCTGCTGGGCCACTGCATTGACATAAACCCTCCTCTCCCTCACGCTTCCCTTTCCCCGATCCCCGGTGGCAACGATGGCAACGAAGCACCACCCGCACCTGGTGCGCCTGCTGGGCTTCTGCGTTGACATGAACCCGGCAGCACAGGGCAGGGGCGAGGTGGCCATGGAGCAGATAGTGGTGTACGAGTTCATGGCCCACGGCGACCTCGAGCGCTGGGTGGGGAGGCCGTGATACAACCTCTCTCGATGGCTCAGCGCCTCACTGTGGCTCATTGGGGCAGCGCACGGCATTGAGTACCTGCATGACTTTGGCATTGTGCACCGTGCCATCAAGCCCGCCAACATTCTCCTCGACAGCAAGATGCAGGTCAGCCGCCGTCTCGAGTTATGCCAAGCCAAGGCCTGTTAGGCGTACGTTTTCAGGATGGCACGTTTGAGGTCAGATCAGAAAAAGACAGTTCCTTGGAGGACCGTTGTCTATGTGAGACGTTTCGACTTGATGTCAAATGAGGATAGCAGAATAGGCGCCACTAGAGCCGTTTGTTTCCATGATCCTGTACATCTTCCACGTGTCGTCATCCATATGCCATCCCATACACCCTCCATTCTCTCCACCCCTACAAGCCAAGGTTGCGGATTTTGGACTACTAAGGGAGGGGGAGGGCAGCACAGTGGGCGTCAATAGGGAGGTTTGTTTCCAGCAATCCACATTTCATCCCTTATCTTACCCCCAACAGGCCAAGGTTGCGGATTTTGGGCTTGTGAGGGAGGGAGAGGACAGCAAAATATGCACTACAAGAGTGATGGGCACACCGGGCTATGTGGACCCTGCTTATGTCAAGTCTGAAATCGCCACACCCTCAGCTGATGCATACAGGTGAGCCATGCTGTTGGTGTCATCCACCCTCGTGCTGTTGCCTTCGGTGTAATTTTCCTTGCCGAGCATCGCCAAGTTAAGCTTGGGCTGTTGCTCAGCAATTTCTTGCAAGCTTGTAACAGAAGTCAAGGTACCTTCGGAGTCACATACAAGGTACCTTGACTTCTGTTGGCCGACTCATGTGATGCTCATGATGCCTTCCTGTGACTCACACCATTGCTATACATCAATTGTACTTCGGTCGTTACTTGCTGCATCACGAAAAGGCCTCTCTGTTCCGTCACTTGCTCAAAACCCATCTGTCTGTGCTGCAGTTTCGGCATTGTGATGCTCATGATGCTTGCCGCTCGCAAGGCAGTTTTAAGGGATTGGGGAAGCAGCGACAATGGCAGCCAGACTCACATCAAGGATTGGGTACGTGTTCAATTTCGCGCTGGGGCCGAGTTTACAATGAGACACGGGCAAAGTTGTGACAATATGAAAGAAAGCCCGTGACTTTATGAATGAAAGCCCGTGACTTTATGAATGAAAGCCCGTGACTTTATGAAATAAAGCCAGTGACTTTATGAATGAAAGCCCATGACTTTATGAAAGAAAGCCTGTGACTTTATGAAAGAAAGCCCATGACTTTATTAATAAAAGCCCGTGACTTTATGAATGAAAGCCCGTGACTTTATGAAAGAAAGCCCGTGACTTTAAGACAGCCCGTGACTTTACGAATGAAAGCCCCTGACTTTATGAATGAAAGCCCGTGACTTTACGAAAAGAAAGCCCGTGACTTCATGAATGAAAGCCCGTGACTTTACGAAAGAAAGCCCGTGACTTTATGAATGAAAGCATGTGACTTTATGAATGAAAGCCTGTGACTTCATGAATGAAAGCTCGGGACTTTATGAATGAAATCCCGTGACTTTATGAATGAAAGCCCATAACTTTATGAATGAAAGCCCATGACTTTATGAATGAAAGCCCGTGACTTTATGAATATAAGCCCTGTGACTTTATGAATGAAAGCCCGTGACTTTATGACCTACAGACTTTATGAATGTATGAATTGAGATAGAACTTACACTTGGCTGATAAGGCACCCTGAGTTGGTAAAGATTACCCCCCATCGCAGGAATCTTGCCAACCTTAGCACTTCACAAGTCGCTGTATGCTGGTGCTGATGTAAGTATCGGCCCCCCTGTCCCCCCCATCCTAATCCTTCCCAGGCCACATACCTAATTGAACAAGGCCGGGCGTCAGAATGAAAGGACCCCCGGTTGGATGCTCCCGCACATTTGATTGTGCGGATGGCACAGCTGGCACTGCGCTGCACTGCCACGCCGACCGTGTCTCGTCTCGACATGGTGCAGGTGTTATCTGAGCTATCAGCGCTAAGGAAGGAGTATCTGGGGGAGGCGCCACCTAGGATGGCGGCTAGAATAGATGAGGAGGTTGAAGAGGCAGAGAGGGGTAATTTTGAAGAGGAAATGGCCGCTGTTGAGAGGATGGCGTTTGGAGGGAGCACTGGAAGTTATCACGTCACGTGACAGATTGATGGATGCCTTTTGAGTTGCAATTTTTATGTTTTTTTGTTTTGCTTTCTTGGGGTGTATTCCTATGCACTGGGATCAGGATCAGACTCGCGCAGAACCAGAATGAACCACATTGAAACGCGATTCACACTTGCACCGCACAGTACCGCGTGAGGGCTGACGTTATCAGGGTATTTTACCCTGATTCCCTGATTTCACAGGGTATGTTTTTCGGCCAGCCCTTACTTTTCAGGGTGGTCAAAATCTCAACAATGAACCCTTCAGGGTTATAAGTTCTCCATTACTGAGAATTTCAGGGACTGTGTCCTAGGGATACTTAGTTTCCAGGTGTTAATGCGTACCGACCCTGACACAGACATATTGCACTGAACTGGCCACAATCCTGAGATTCCGGCGAAGTCCCCAATTTCCAGAGACATCTCCCCACACACCCAGCAGCCTACGTAAAATTTTGGCTAAGTCCAACAGGACGGACACTCCCCCCACACACCCAGCAGCAATCTACCGAAATCGGCGAAGTCCTCTTGTACAGACACTCGCCTCACACACCCCGCAACCTAAAAAAAGATCGGCTAAGTCCTGATAGCCCGAGACATCACCCTCTCCAACAAAAATTATTGGTTAAGTCCTCTTGTACAGACTCCCCCCTCCCACACTCCCACAACCCATACAATTTGGCTAAGTCCTCAACATCACCCCTATACCCCCCACAAACCCTGAGAATTTGGCAACCCAGTGGAGTAGTGCAATTCGTACATGGCAATGTACTACAAGGGTACTAGTGACAACGCCTGAGCATGACAAAAACCTTACCCTTAGTAGAAATCGTTCCTTTCAGGGGAATTCCCGCCAGCTGCCAGTGCGGTATAACTAATAGTCCAAAACGCTTTGACGGCCCCGATCGATTGCGATCGTTTCGACATTTATCAGGCGTCGATGTCTTCTCAAGATTAACGGACCGGATTTCTTTTCACATTTGAACTCAATTCCATGACGGTGCAAGCGAGCGAAGTCCCTCCCACGCACGGTGCTCATTGGCCAATTGCGAGGGCTCTGTCTCCCCTCGCTTGCGAATTCCCTCACTTGTGAGGGCTCTGTCTCCGCCCTTCCCCTCTGTTGGAAACAAAGAATTGGAGAAGTAACCCGTTTCTGTAGTATCGAGACTAAAGCGATACTGTGAAATGGTCAACAACGAGTACGGCGAGTCAACGGAGGTTACACGCGGCAGTTGTGCGTGTAACCAAAGCGCATGGCAGTTGCACTTGGAGGTTGCACGTGGAGGTTACGTGGCAGCCCTACTGCACATCAACCACTACTGTAAGGTATCGAGTCGCTTATACGCTCGATAACGCAACAGCAGCTGTAGTAACTGTCCTGTATTCTAGAATAACTATTTATTCCTGTCTGCTGTTTGTGTTAATCAATTCTCTTGTTCTCACATACCAGTGCAAGAGGTTCATTAAGTCTTACACCTCGCTTCCGCAAGTACAACATCCTTCTGGGGACTTGTCTTTGCAAAGATCCTACGGGCTTCTCTCAGCCCAGCATGGTATGAGAGCTAGTCGAAGACTAGGTTCCTGCTAAGTTCATTATAAGCACTCTCAGCTCTACAAGTTCATCAGTCAAACCCACTTCAAGATTACAAGATATGGCATCCCAGAAGGAAGTGAGATCCTCCATTGGATCTCCAGGCTCAAAACCTACTATGCCCCTAGTCTCTGGCCTACAGACTGAAGAGGCGCCTGCGCAAGAAACAACCCCGAGAGCATCTACTGAGCAAGCGGTCCCTCCGACCGGCTTCGACCCAAGTCTGATGGAGTGCTTCTTCTCCTTCGTGTCAACATATGAGCAGCAACAACCATCAGCACCTGCACAGTCAGCCAACAGCAACAACAACAACAACAACAACAACAACAACAACAACAACAACAACAACAACAACAACAACAACAACAACAACAACAACAACAACAACAACAACAACAACAACAACAACAACAACAACAACAACAACAACAACAACAACAACAACAACAACAACAACAACAACAACAACAACAACAACAAGGCCACCGGGCTATGTGGATCCAGCTTACTTCAAGTCTAACAAGGCCACCCCCATGGCTGATGTATACAGGTACAGTGCGGTAAAGAGTGGTATTAGTGACTCGTACATGTCTTTATGTGATGGACTCACCGTGGATCCTGCTTACTTCAAGTCCAGCAAGGCCAACCTCATGGCGATGTGTACAGTTACAATGCGGTAAAGAGTGGTATTGGTTACTTGTACATGCATGTAAGCTTATGGACGTATAGTGATGGGCACACCTGGCTACGTGGAATGTCCAAGTATTTAATGCATCTCTGCTTACTTCAAGTCCAACAAGGCCACCCCCATGGCCGATGTGTACAGGTACAGTGCGATAAAGCGTGGTATGAGTCGTACAACCATAGGCACATTCATACATGGGTGTTTTTGATACACCGGGCTTGTTCTACCTTACCTCTTTCAAGCCTCTCACTCATACAGCCCTCTGCTTTTCCTGTAACCGCACCCATTTCCCTGCTGCCCCCCCCCCCCCTCCTCCTCCAAATGCTACAGCTTTGGCATTGTGATGCTGACGGTGCTGACAGCACGCCAGTCAGTCATTCCACAAGGCAATGACAGCCAGCTGAACATCCGGAAATGGGTGAGTCGAGCCGTGCCATTTCATGCCATAGTTCGTTCAAGGTGTCATGGCTTTAGGCCCTTTGTTAGTCATCCCACAGGGCAGTGACAGCCAGCTGAACATACAGAAATGGGTGAGTCCAGCCGTGCGATGCAATGCTTGCTATCCATACCATACCATGCCATGCCATGCCATGCCATGCCTCCTATCCATGCCATACCCATTCAGACTGTCACAGGGACCATCAGGCATTCTTCTACCTTTGCTGTTCCCCTGGCGCTCTGAGCAACTAACGCTCAGTGTTCCAATTCTTCTCACTGACACTCCAGTTCCACTGCTGCATTCAGTCCCTCTCAGCCCCAAGGCCTCATTGAAGCTGGCAATGCGCAGTCTCTCCGTCTCTCATTCCCTCACCCCTCCTACACGCTCTCTTTCCCATACCCATCCCCTTTCCCCTCAGGCGGAAGACCTTCTCAAGGCAGGCAAGGCGTCCGAACTCAAGGATCCCCGATTGGACGCTCCGGCAGATTTGATTCTGCGGATGGCGCAGCTGGCGCTGCGCTGCACTGCCATGCCGACCGTGTCTCGTCCCGACATGGTGCAGGTTGTATCTGAGCTCTCAGCGCTCAGGAAGGAATACCTGGGGGAGGCGCCACCCAGGATGGCGGCTAGGATAGACGAGGAGGTGGAGGAGCTTAGGGTTGGGGATTTTAGTGCGGAAATAAGGATGGCTGAAAGGATGGCGTTTCAGAATAGCACCAGCGCATTGAGTATTCGATAAAGGAGTTGGAAGTCAGGCAGTAGCAAAGAAATACGCATAGAATGAAAGGATGGAGTTTCAGAATAGCACCCGGCGCAATGAGCATCCGGTAGAAAAAGGAGTTGCCTTAAGGCGGTAGGCAGCAGCACTCAGGAACGAATACCTGGGGGAGGCGCTGCTGGTGATGGGCAGGAATATCAGCTCCTATGGTGTGGGCAGCTATGTTGTGAAGTGAGCGGAAGATGCAAGGAGGGGGAACTTTGCGAGATAAATTTGCTACTGTAGAGCACATGGTGTTGACAGGGAGTGCTTGAAGCATGTGAGAATTGATGAGGAGATGGCTGCTGTGGAGTGGATGGCGATGGGTGGGAGTACCAGCAGATACGATGTCAAGCGAGTAGAGTAGCAGAAGACGGGGGGGTGTCTACTGCTACGGTGCCCCACGATGGCTGCTGTGGAGTGGATGGGGATGGGGGGAGCATCAGCAGCTATGGTGTCAAGTGAGAGGAGGCAGGGAGGGGGAGCAGGAGAAAGGGGAGGTATGCTGGAGGATTCTGCTGTTTAATAGGAGTTGGTGATGGGTGGGAGTACCATCAGGCATGACGTCAACGGAGCGGACGAGGCAGGGAGTGGGGAGCAGGAGGATGGGGAAGCATGCTGGAGGATTCTGCTGCTATGGGGGTGGGGATGGTGACGGGCGGGAGTGCTAGCAGCTGCTGTGTCAAGTGAGAGGAGGTCCAGAAGAGGGGGGGGGGGGGGGGGGGTGTGTGAAGTGAAAGGCAGGGAGAGGGAGACTTGCTGGAGGAACTGGGTGTTGTGGAACGGATAGTGATGGGCGAGATTTACTCCCTCCCTGGGAATACTACGATATAAACCACAGTGCCGAGTGAGTGGTTGGTGCATTGACCATGATGATTGCATGCAAGGAGGGAGGGCGGAGAGTTTTGGCTTACCACTAGGAGAGGTGGTGGTATGTGGGTGATCAGTAAATCACATTGTGTTAGGGCGCGTTATAAGATGCCAATGTAATTGGTTGCGTTGCGTTTTAGAGCAATTGGATCGTGAGGTAAAATGGTTGGGTAAGCAAGAATGCACTAATTATATGAATATGGAAAATCCACATTCCATCTAATATACTAACAGAAAATGTGCAACGCATACTAACGTTGTGGTGCTAGTAAAATATTTGAAGAGCTTTAGAATGTACTTCCTTCGTTGCGTTGGAGCCATAGCTCGAACCCATTCGCCAAAAATAGTGTAACCGTGGCACGTGTGATTCGTCTGCTTCGTATATACATCGTCAGTTTGCGAAACCAGGGTAATCCAACGGCACTCAATTGCTCCCCTCCCGCAGGCGGGACCATCTCGCTCGCTTCATCGATTCTCGCCACTCCACCTGCGATCAACCCCAATTTGGACCATGCAGGCGTGTTCACAAATATCATGGGTGCATGAGTAAGCTGGCAAGAAAAGTTACCCTAGTGGCCGCACTGCCGTTACCAGAGGTCGTGTGTAAGGAATTTTCCATTCCTTAGCGCGCCACACCGCTAACGGCGTACCCCAACCCCACTCGGTACCGACACCTGCCCTAGCTTCGGCCCGTACACGCCACGCCGCACCATTGCACGTCACTCCGAAGCGATCCGCGTCTTCGGATGCCTTCGTCGAACCTGTTTGATCACACTGCTAGGGTTGCTCTGGTGTTCCTATATCTCGCTTCGTCATTCCATTGTACGGCATTCTGTTATTCTGAACCTCGACATTCGATTCCGCGCTACTCTGGTGAAACAGTCATAACATCTGGTAGTCGGAGCTACTCTCTTGACTTCCCCGCTTCCGTAGGCAGATTTTTGTTTTTGTTTTTGTTTTTGTTTTTTTTTTTTTGTTTTTTTTTTGTTTTTTTTTTTTTTTCGGGGGGGAGTGATTTGCTCACTGAGTTGCAAAGCAATTAGCCACAAATCAGACGAACTAATTCGCCCGACTACGATAGCGTTTGCGCTCTTACATGAGCACGAGTAATCACGGCTATTCCCCTGCCCACCCGACGTAGTGTCCGCCACATGGACCAGGCACAGTTCGATGAGCTACTGGCGAAATTCGCCGCCACGGATGCTTGCCTGCAAGCTGTGTTAAACGACGAGAGATTTCGCGCCGAAGTTACCGAACTTCGCCAGGCGCAAGAGACGACGCGCTAGAAGTCGCTCACCCCCGAGGACGCTGCCAACACTGGACGTGGCGAGACAGTATTGGACGAACTCGCACGCGAAGGTTGCAGGAGCGCCGTGATGATGAAGCCGCAACAGCAGCGAATGCCGCAGCACGTGCCACGGCAGCTGCAGAAGCCACGACAATGGCCGCCGCCCGCTCTGAAGCACCAGCAACAGTCTCTGCAGCAGCTGCAGCCACACCAATGGTACCAGTGGCCAAGATAAAGCTGCGATGCCGCCCCCTTTCAACCCCATGGGCAAAAATACCACCATGACGAGCTGGCTTTTGGCGATGGAGCTTTATTTTGACGCGGTCGTGATTACTGTTGATGATTTAAAAATCAAACTGGCTGTTTCGCTACTGAGGGGACCTGCACTAGATTGGTGGCGCTCGACGCTAAGTGAGACGGGGACTTCGGCAGGGAACACTCAGGGGTTTTTCGGGAGCTCGGAATCTGCTGCCCGGGACGCAACGTTAATTTTCGGAGCGACCAAGATTCGCACGTGGAAAGCGCGGGGTACAGCTCTGCGTGCACGTTTTGAGACCATATTTGCCTCGGACAACGCACGTACGAAGTTGGACACCTGGCACCAGTTGACCTTTGTCCAGGATTACGCGTCATCATTTCATACACTGTGCGACCAAATTACCGACCTATCAGAAGCTGAAAAAAGAATCGGTTCATCGTGGGGCTCAAATCCAAAGTTCGCTACGAAGTGAGGATGCGACGCCCAGCGACGTTCGAGGAAGCCATGGTGATCGCCGGCCTGTACGACGCCAAGAAAAATATACAAGAGCAGGTTCCCGGGAGAGAAATCATTTTCGTGGCCAGGATCAACGGCCCTCGATCAACGGCATCGTGGAAAACGACGAAGATCGCAGAAAGAGACAGTACTTTTACTGCCACCAGCCGGTCACCGATATGCGGACTGTCCTGACCAGAAGCACAGGAAAAACAACGATGGGGATAAGCCGGGAAACGACTCTCGTAAGTAGCAGACGGGCCCCTTACTGACACCGCCTGCATCGCCCGAGCAACTATATCTCCACCTGGTAGTTGTACCGGTACACGCTATCGGCTGCTCTCGGACGAATAACGGGGATGAACATGAGGATCACCCTGTGCTGGTAGAAGGAAGGGTTAACGAAAATAAGTAAATACAAAAAATCTTCATCGATGGTGGTGCAAGCCACAGCCTGATTCACCGACCGACGATGAAAATAAATAAATTTACGCCTAGAGCGGTGTCTGCACGAGATTGATGCCCGATTGGTTGACGGCACCCCACTGACGATACGCGATCGCGTGCGATCTGTTCGCATGAAGTGTGGTTACAATTTTGGCTTCAGCGCGCCGATGCTGGTGACGACACTCGACGGCTACGATGTGCTGCTGGGACGAGATTGGCTTCGGCGACACAACCCGCAGATCGATTGGTTGGCAGGCGAGTGCACAATCACGTGTGCGAACTGTTGGCAGTTACTGCCAGAATGGCGAGGAGCAGAGCCGACAACGACATGTGTCAATGCCATCACGCTGACACGCGTGGTCAAGAAAGACGCGGGATTGTACGCCGTCCATCTGAAGGAATCAATGGACGATGATCAACCAGCCGACATCGATAAGCTCTGTGCAGCAATCCCCGAAGATCTGGCGAAATTGATTCGTCATTTTCCAGATATTTTTCGGGACGACCTGCCACCTGGCCTGCCGTCTGAACGCCCTCAGGACCATCGGATCGAACTCGAACCTGGCGCGCAGCCAACTGTCCGGACACAGTGGCGGCTGACGCAACCGGAGCTCCAAGAACTACGAGACCAGCTGGACTATTTGCTGACAAAGGGTTCGTTCGACCGAGCACGCCCCCGTTCGCTACCCCGATCCTGTTCACACCCAAGAAAGATGGGGGCCTCCGAATGTGCATCGATTATCGCGCCTTGAATCGGGTTACAATAAAATCTCGCTACCCAATCCCGCGTGCGGACGAACTGATCGACCAGCTGCGAGGCGCTCGTTCTTTCTTGAAGATCGACCTTCACGGCGGTTACCCCCAGATTCGAGTCTTCACCGACGACTGCCACAAGACCGCGTTTCGTACTCGCTACGAGAGTTACGAATACAGTGTCATGCCGTTCGGGTTAACGAATGCCCCATCGAGGTTCCAGCTAACGATGAACGGGGTATTCCGGGGTCTACTCGATAAATTTGTAATCATTTAGCTGGACGATATCTTAATTTACAGCACGGCACGGGAGCAACACTAAAAGGACCTGGCAGCGGTTTTTCAGCACATGCAGTAGAATCGCCTCATCACCAAAGGCTCTAAGTGCGAGTTTTTAAAAAACCGAACTGGAGTTTTTGAGGCACGTTATCTCGACGGAAGGAGTGAAGATTGACCCCCGCAAAATTCAGGCGATTCAGGAATGGAAGCTGCCGACCAACCTCCGGGAGCTGCAATCGTTTTTGGGGTTTGTACCCAACACTGGGGCACTAATTGACCTACTTCAAAAGGGCACTGATTATCAGTGGGGGGTGAAGCAGCAAGCAGCGTTTCACGGATTAAAAAATATTCTAATCTCGCCACCGATACTTTGGATTGCTGACCTAGAACAACCATTTGAGGTCATGACCGACGCAATTGATATCGCAATCGGAGCAGTTATGCTACAAGATTTTGGCGACGACCTTCAGACAATCGCGTACGAGTCGCAAAAGTTACAATCGGCCGAACGAAATTATCCCGTACACGACAAAGAAATGCTGGGGATCGTGCACGCGTTCAAGATATGGCGATGCTACCTGACGGGAGCCGACGTGACTGTACGAACAGATCACAAGTCCTTACAGTACATGCGAGCGCAGCCGAATCTCAACCCGCGGCAGATTCGCTGGTTGGATTATCTGGAGTCGAACTTCACGTATCGCATCACGTACAATAAGTGTGCCAACAACGTCATTGACGCCCTCTCCAGACCATCTGCCCAAACTGCCGCTGTACTAATCGCTCACATGAACCCGTTGCTGAGCAGACTATTTACCCACGGATATTCAACCGACCCCTTTTTCGTAAACAACGGCCACCAGCAAGTCACGACTGCACAGGGAGCCTATTACGTAAAAGTGGGAACATAATGAATTTGGGTTCCGAGTTATCGTCTACTTCACGAATGATTAATTCAAGAAGTCCACGATTCGAATTTATCGGGACATTTCGGGCTTGACAAGTCTCTGAAGGCACTGCAGCCGTTTTATTACAGGCCGGACATGATTTCGGACGTGCAGAAATACGTGGGTGCATGTCCGACTTGCCAGACGATGAAACCATCATGCCAACGGTTAGCATGACTGTTGCAGCCCCTCGAGCCACCCCAGCAACCTTGGCAACATGTGACAATGGGTTTTGTCATCGGCCTGCCGGCCGGACCACGTGGTAATGACGCGGTTCTTGTCGTCGTCGACCGCCTCACGAAAATGGCCCACTTCGCGCCATGTCGCACGATGATCACAGCCGAAGAAATAGCACGTCTTTTCATCTCGGTCGTCGTTCGCCTGCATGGTATCCCTACAGCGATCATCAGCGACAGAGACTCGAAATTCACTCCGCGCTTCTGGCAAGACACGTGGAACCGATACGGCACCCACCTACAGTTTTCATCCGCCTATCACCCGCAAACCAACGGTCAGACAGAACGTACGAATCAGACCATGGAACAGTTTATTCGAACGAATTGTCCGGATATCAGCAAAAGGGAAGATTCACTACCCATGCTCGAGCTTCCTACAACAACACACCCTCCGCCACGACCAATAATTCGCCCTTCTTCCTGAATTATGGGTTGGATCTGACAGTACCCATCTCCACCAACGTCGAAAGCCAAGTCCACCGCTCGCAACAGTTTGTCGAAGACCTTCAAACCGCCCGCATGAAAGCCATCGAATTTATCACGGCCCGCCAATATGCCGACCGCCACAAAAACGATATTACATTGATTGCAGGGAAACTAGTCCTCCTCGACACAAAAAACCTTCGCCTGCAGATACCACCAAAACTTTGACCCCGCTATTGTGGACCCTTCAAGATCATCAAAATGATCACGCCAGTGACCGCCCAACTCCACCTGCCCGACGATTGGAAAATCCATAATGCCTTCCACGTCAGCCTCCTTCGTCCTTTTGTCGCCGACACATCCAACGTCGTCCGACAGCCGATCGCCCAGGATCTACGGCCAGCCGAAGAGACGCTCATCGAACCAGCGAAGATCCTGAGCCACTGCGTACGCATCAACAGTCAGGAACGACATGTTGACTTTCTGATACGATGGGCTCATCGTACCAGCGAGGACGACACGTGGGTCCCTCGGTACAGGTACAGTCACCTACTGTACTCTGGGATTATTTATCCCGCAAGCACGTCGCAAATATAGACCACCTTCGCTAGAGGGCCGGTAGTGTAAGGAATTTTCCATTCCTTAGCGCGCCACATCGCTAACGCGTACCCCAACCCCACATGGCACCGACACCTGCCGAACCATTTCACGCTACGCCGAACCATTTCACGTCACTCCGAAGCGATGCGCGTCTTGGTATGCCTTCGTCGAACATGTTTGATCACACGACTAGGATTGCTCTGGTGTTCCTATATCTTGCTTCATCATTCCATTGTACGACATTCTGGTATTCTGAACCTCGACATTCGATTCCGCACTACTCTGGTGAAACACTCATAACATCTTGGCTAGTCAACGGGCTAAAAATAGCAGCACTTTCTGCTGAGAGTGTGTCAGATCGAGGAACTGACTTTCGACGCAGCGGCACTCCAAATACCTGGTACCACGCCCTTGATAGTACGGACGGATGCTACTTTCAACACCCAACAATAACCAACCAACCAATCCCCTCCATTCCTCCCAACACGGCTAGACCCTCGCGGACTGGCTCTTGCTGACTTGGCAATTTTGTGAAGTGCTTCGCACTAGCAGCCCAGGCGGGAATGAGGGGAACTGGCTTGGTGCTTCGCAGCACCTCGCGATAATGGCGTGTTGCGGGTCAAGGGAATGCAGGGAATTGCATTCAGGCGGTTCCCTTGACTCTTGCTTCCTTGACTCTCGTGATTCACTTGCCATTGCCTGCACGACAGGGCACTGCGTGCGGGCTGAGGCTCGTGGGATGTGTGGGTGAGGACCATGTCGCACCACACATGCTAAGGGATGTGGGTAAGGACACACTCGCTAAGGGATGTGCGTAAGGACACACGTGCTAAGCCTGTGTCTTTGTGGTTAAATTGCCATTCGGTGATTCTATTCACTTGGAAATGTTTTGGCAGCAGCATTCTCTGTCTGCTACCTCTCCACATTATTTATAACTTCTTTCACCTCCTCCGTCAACCAGTGAATTAGAATTAATAAGGGCGTTAGGAAAACCCCTCCTTGCTGCCATTATCCTTCTTCCTCCTCCTTTTCTGAAGTTGTTTGCACCATTCGCCAGCTATGCCATGTATTGACAAATGGTGGGTTCTTGGTGCAATTTTTTTTGTGGGCATCAGCATCTCGACTCGCCCAAAAAAGAATTAGTCGAACCAAACTGCATCTACAATATTTCAGTAGCTTGTGATGTGTGTAGTACGACGCTCATATGGCAAATACATGCTCAATACTAAGTTGGCACTTAACCTTCACGGGTCTTTCGTTTACGTGACTTTACGAAGTAAACTTACGTTTACTTACATTGGGCCAAAATGGCTTTACGTTTACGGTCAGCACAAAATGCTTCCAAGCTGCCCGTGCACAGGGGAATCTCATAATGCTTTGGGTATGCACAAAGCAGAGAGGCATAAATAACTAGACTCACCACCCAAATTTGTTTTGTTTCAACACAAAAGTTGCCTTGGTGAGCCACAGTGTGCAACCATACCATAGACGTGACTGCGCCCCAGTCAAACTCAATCTTCCCCCTTTTTTCCTGCCCCTGAGTTTTTTTTATGCTGCCCATCCATATTTACGTAAATTTACGAGTAAAAATACGTAAAGGTAAACTTACGAGCACATCTACGTTTACGTGACTTGGTTTAGAGTAAAGTACCAACTAAGGCTCAACAAGGGCACTTGGTACTAAGAATTTCCATTTGATCCCTTTTCCACATGATTTTCCATTTTATCCCTTTGCATTTTTCCTTCTCCCTTTCGCAAGCAGACGAGTGCTTTCGCGGATGCACATATGGCATTTGCCTGCAGATCGGCTCTACCTCGCAGTATGAGTACATGTGTGCATCCGCCATTGGGCCGACCGCCGGATGCCGTGTACCAGGTGTGCTACGACCATAAAGAGAGATGTCCATTCGGTCTGTGCCAGGACAGGAGATCTCCCGTGTTGTATGCCACCTTGCAATTTGACTGCGTGTGTGCACCTGCCTTCGTTTGTCCCCCTCTCGACTCTCAATCGGCCGATGCTACTCACCAGGCATGCTGCAACGATGAAGCGACCCTATTGGCCAATGCATAACCACTGGTTAGGGATGTTGAATGTTGTATGCTGAACCACTACGCAAGCGTCTGGGAAAAAATAAGTGTAAATCCTCCTCCCCTTCCCCCCCCCCACCCCCCCTCGTTTTGTACTCCCTCCATCCCACCAGCAGGAACCTCCAACTCCTCAGACCCTTCCTCTGCCAACCCTTCCTCCCCCCCTCCTCATTCTCCCCCCCCCCCCCCCCCCTCATTCTTCCCCCTCTCCTCATTCTCCCCCCCTCCTCATTCTCCCCCCCCACCTCATTCTCCTCCAGCAACCTGTCAATTGGGGTCATTGTTGTGCTTGTGCACGTCCCTGTCATCACCATCATCATCATCTGCATCATCTGTGTTCATCCCTCCACTCCATCCCCCAAGCAGGATCCTCCAACTCCTCAGACCTGGCCTCCGCTCCCCCCTCCTCCCCCTCCTCGTTCAACCTGTCGGTTGGGGTCCTTGCTGTCATTGCACCCGCCCCTGTCATCAACACCTGCACCATCTGTGTTCATCCCTCCACCCAACCCCTCAACCAGGACCCTCCAACTCCTCAGACCCGCCCTCAGCCAACCCCTCCTCCTCCTCCTCGTTCAGCCTGTCAGTTGGGGCCATAGTTGTCATCATTATAGTTTCTGTCATCATCTTAATCACAGTGGCTCTCTTTCTCTGGTTCAAGCAGAGGCGGGGGGGGGTCACAGCAGCCTCGAAGCCAAGAGTGGGACACGGAGGGAGCAGCGTATGGGAGCCTGTACGCAGCAAGAGCAGCAGGCATGCAGGGTTCTGCAGATATGCCAGGAGGCGGAGGAGGGGGGCATCACCAGGGGTATAATGGTTTGCAGAGGCGTGGGAGCAGTGGGAGTGCGAGTGTATGGAGCAGTCATCTAGGGGGCGGTAACCCATGGGATGAAGTCAGAGCAGGTGGAGCAGCGCAAGCAGTTGGAGCAGCGCAGGCAGTTGGAGCAGCAGGGTCATTGAATAGTTTTGACTACGCCCATCAAGGGTGCCAGAGGTTCTCATACGCTGACATGGCGCAAGCCACCAACAACTGGGACGAGCGCAACCGCATTGGCAGTCATCCTCCAGGCTGCGGAAAGCAGCCGTGAGCTCTTCGCTAAGCTTCTGATACTTGGCTTCCAGAACCGCCTTGCCATCTGCAGGGTCTTCGAACTTCTGGGACCTGCAATGAGAAGAGAACACTCATGAAGTCTGAAACTGGGAAGACTGGGGACGCTGTGAACTGGATCTCTAATTCCAAGAGCATGACTGGAAGCATCTGAGCATGACACGTACACAATCTTGTAGATGAGGTCACCAAGCCTCTGCTTGATGACATTAAGGGTGATCTTCTGGCCTTCTGAACCAGCTGCCCTCTCAACAGCCTGCAAAGGTAACAGAAGAAAATGTGCCAGTGTAGAAGACTCAGAGGTGTGACATGAGCATAAACCAAGCTGGAAACACATGGGGCAGCATAGCAGAAGACGACATACCTGTGCCATACAACCCTGCTGTGCTCTGGGTTGTGAAGCGAGGAAAAGTATTCACCAAAGACTTTCAAAGGGAGGTGAGTTATATTAGGTGTATTTTGAGTCGACTAAAAAATCATCACCAAAGACTCTCAAAGGGAGGTGAGTAATATTAGGTGTATTTTGAGTCAACTAAAAAATCATCACCAAAGACTTGAGTAATATAAGGTGCACACGTGCAAGAGAGAGAGAGAGAGAGAGAGAGAGAGAGAGAGAGAGAGAGAGAGAGAGAGAGAGAGAGAGAGAGAGAGAGAGAGAGAGAGAGAGAGAGCGAGACACACCATAGAGGCAAAAGGGATACCATATTAGCGGGTGAGTGAGTGTGCCCATAACCTTGCTGGCTATATGCATGTAGCACTTCCAATTCAAGTAGCCGCGGTGGTTATTCAACAAAAAAAAAAAACCCAAATTTATCCTAGTCTCAGCGCACTCAACTCAACCCCTTCCCCCCACTGTGCCCCCTCCTCCGAATTCCAGGTGGCAGCGATGGCAGCAAAGCACCATTCACTCACATTTGGTGTGCCTGCTGGGCCACTGCATTGACATGAACACCCCTCACCCCCCCACCTGCTTCGCTGGTTCTTCCCCCCATCCCCACGTGGTAGCCATGGCAACAAAGCACCACCCACATTTGGTGTACCTGCTGGGCCACTGCATTGACATAAACCCTCCTCTCCCTCACGCTTCCCTTTCCCCGATCCCCGGGTGGCAACGATGGCAACGAAGCACCACCCGCACCTGGTGCGCCTGCTGGGCTTCTGCGTTGACATGAACCCGGCAGCACAGGGCAGGGGCGAGGTGGCCATGGAGCAGATAGTGGTGTACGAG